CAAAAATCCATGTCCGTTTGCCTCACTCTTCATCAACAGATTTATATTATGGAGGGGAAGCAGTCACATTAGAACAGCCGCAATCCTTCACTTGCCCATATTGCGGCAAGATGGGCTTTACCGAGTCCACGCTACAGGAGCACGTCACGTCGGAGCACGCCGACTCCTCACTGGAAGTGGTAAGTGGAAGCACATGCCCCAGTGTCATACAGCAGCTTTGCAGAGAAGCTTGCTGAGCGAATTCTTGCACTTAGCAGAAGTCAGGAGGGTTCCGGTCACAAACAGTGTACAGTTGACTCTCGTTAATACGAGGGCCTTGGGACTTACTAAATTAGCTCGTATTATCAGGACCTCGTCTTACGTGAAAGCTGCCGTCCTGCTTGACGTATGTATCACCAATCGACCGTACACAAAGTGTACACGTGTACAAGTTTGTAGAACTTTTTGTTTAAAGGCACATAGTATCGTTTTGTTACATGAATTTGATTTTAAAAAGTTTGTTTATGAAAGTGAAATACAGTTTAATGAGTAACGACGAAGAATAATTACAAAATGTAAGAACGGAGGAAGCGGAATTCCCATCAGTCATGTCGATTCGGAGCGACACGTCCCGGGTCCCGTACGCCTTGATGAGATCCACATGCACGCATGTGACATAAGTACATTAACATTTTAGTTGGTAACCAACACCAGAGCTGCACTTGTAGCACATAAAAGTGTGAGGAAACCAGCTATTGGTAGTGTGGACAGCAGAGGGCGAATATCAGATGTTACTTTGGAAAGGTGTATGGATTTGGTGAAAATTATTAGCGAGGTATACGCTGTTTTCTTTAAAACTCGTAGTTGTTATTTTCTTAAACATTTTTAGACCGAAAACCACGGTTTCAATCATGATTTTCTGAAATTGAGAATTTATAGAAATGTCAAAATCGGAAGGGGTGAAATTTTCATGTTATGGTGGGGAGCCGGTAACAATTTTTAGACGGAGGGTGGGCAGTTTTTGGGCCGGGTGTTCGGTTACTGAACACAATTTTTATTAGTTTCCTGGCGGGACTTTGGTCTTGGGGAATTGTTGGGAGGCGGGGGGAATCAAACAAAAGATTTCTGTCCTAAATACCGTAGCACTTTTGGCTGCACTCGCTTGTGTTCAGGCGGTACCAGGGCCGCCACACCGAATTTCTACATTGGGTACTGGAACCACAAACGCCCATTGTTTGTCTCTCTTGCAGCACCGGACACAAACGGCTCGATTCGGTGGGAAAACCGCAGCGCTGTTCTACTGTACACGCATAAATTACGGAAGCGCCTTTCAAAATTGAATGGACTGGCTGATTGACAAGTTGCCTTCCAAAAAGCTTGTGCTGAATAGACAGACGACACTAGATTTGCACTCGGCCAGCGCACAAAAAAATGCTCGTCTTAACCGAAATCTTGTAACATCCGAGCTCGTATTACACATTTCTCCCCGCATAGGAATGTGCACAATTCAGTCGGGACTTGCAAATATGCTCATCTAAACCGGAGTCTCGTCTTACCCGACCTCGTATTACCGGGAGTCGACTGTATATGCCATTTGTTTTTGGCTGGTTTCCTGATCTTGCTTAGCAAATATATCCCATTTCATCCACTGTATAATGAGTGACTGGGAACCAGCCTGTAATAAGCAACACCTGCCATCCCGGGTACGACTTTTCAGTGCAACCTGATGAAAAGTATGCTAACAACAGTTAACGCTGCCTAGGTTCTGGGCTGCATGCTGCCCGCTGTCGTATATGCTCAGGGCGAGATGCCTGGTAGGACAAAGCCATTGTGAGATTCTTGAAGACATTTGCTGACTAACAATGTGCGAATTTTCTGAGCAACATTTATAAGTCAGTCATTTTCTCCTCTCTGTCAAGGTATGCCCTGTTTGTGCAGCATCCATAGGCGGGGATCCTAACCATGTAACTGATGATTTTGCCGCTCATCTAACATTGGAACACAGGTCACCTAGAGATTTGATATCCTTTCTGTAGCTTATTACCAGTCTTAATTCCAGTTGGTAACAATTAGAAATGTAAGTATGACAATAAGATTTGCTGAACTGGCAACGTTTTAAAATTTTTGTCAATTACTGTCTCACATATGAACACATGAAAATTTTTTATATATTCCACTTATTTGTTTTCCAGCAGACTAAAGAAAGGTTTGAGGTTAAGTGGCCTAATTTTGAAGTGCTTTTCGTGTCCGTGTTATCATGACATTTATGTTGAAAACAAAAGAGAAAGTGATTTCCACTTTTTACAGTATTTTATGCCTAACGCCATTCTTTGGGATGCGTTCCTTGACTACAAATTCCCACGATGAGACGGGCAACGTCAGACACCTTCGTAGAATGTTCCACCCGGGCCGCGGCATCGGCCAGCGGACGAGGCGGCCCAACATGCACTTCAGCGGAAGCAGCGGGCTGTCATCGGGACAGAGCTCCAGCTCACCAAGTAGTAGAGAGACCATGGACCCAATCGCTGGTAAGTGAGACCAGGCGCTAGACTGTTCATAGTCGAGGGGAGATACAGTACCCTGGGCGTTAAACTGAAGTCTGCAGAGTCTGGTTAGAGCTCCCGCAAAATTGCAACTCACGAAACATTGCAAAGAAAGTCTAAATTTGTAATGAAATCTTTCCAAATTGAGTCTTAAGGCCATTTTTTTTAAAAGTAATTTTGTCTTTAGTTTGCATTAGTAAGAGCAAACGGAGCCCTTTGTTTTGATGTTTCACTTGGTCTAGCATCCTGAGGAAATCGACTCCATTGAAATTGAAAAAAATTGAGGGTTCCTGCCAATGCTTGATGCTGTAAAAACATAGGACATACAGTGTATAAAGAGACAACAAGAATGAATGTTGTATGCGTTTAAATGATGACATCAGGTGTGCACAGTTTGGGCTTAAGTTAGGCTGAACTCAGTTTGTGTACTTGTTCGTTTGTAGGTAGCGTTATCATGAATGTTCTGTAGACTGTTCACCGTTGTGTCCACGTTTTGTTTGAAGTTCCCTTTCCTGCTTTGCGTGCCAAGTTTCAAAGAGTTAAACACATGCCAAGTTCAAAGCCACTCGTGGTAACAAGTCAGTCTGAATGGTTATTTTTCCCTGTAGAATTACTATCGCAGCTGTCCGGAACACGGCGTGTAGGCGGCCACTCATCCACAGCGTCCCAGCTGCAGCAGCTACAGATCATGCAGCTGCAGCTAGAGAGGCAACAGCAACAACAGCAGCAGCAGCAGAGCCAGCAAGGCACAGCAAGGCAGCAGGTAGGCTCAGGCGCAGTGTTGATGATCACCCAGCTGATCCAAATCGTCAAGTTTTTACCGGGTTTGTGCCGCCGCAAACGAGATTATTCCTACGTGGCCAATAAAATTTTTTCTTCCCTATTTGAATGCTAATTAACCGTCCGTTAAAAACCGGTTCATTGGTGTTGTGAAGCACATGATCTTTCACCACGTTACCTTGTTACATTTAGCATAACATTTTATTCAAAACACAGTTTTAAGCTCAGTACAATTAGTCTCTCAAGGGGTTACATTGTAAATAAAATCTTCAATCTCCAAAATAAAATGTCGTATTTACAAACTGGTCAGCAGCAATGCAGTCATGATTTGACCTGAGAAATATCTCTGGAAAAAAAAAAGATTAAGTCAATGATTTTGCATTGTAAGTCAAAATTTAGTTTGCTCCGATTCTGCATTTTTCCCTGTTGTCTAGGTCGAAAGGTTAGCAGTACCACGACGACAAGCGACAGCTGCGGCAGCAGCATCTGCGGCAGCCGCTGCCTCCAGTAACAGTAACCCCGGGCACGGCGCCTCACTTTCTTCACTAGTGGGAGCAGAAAGTGCAACCGCGGCCTCCGCGTCGCAAAAAGACTCGCAATTTCTATTATCAAGGTGAGGGGAAACCTTGGGTGACTATTGTAGAGAAGCCATAACTGTAATTTCCTGGATTTATCAAAAAGTGTAACTTACTGGAGTCAGGTGACCATTGTTTAATTCATACTCTGTTTTTTTTTTATGGCAGTGTTCCTTCTCAAATCCTTTTTCATTATCAGCCCAGGTTCAACAGAATTCGTGAAAAAAAATTTGCTCCTTGTACATTTGCTTGCAGTTTAATGCTGAGACGGATAAACACCGGCATTCTTGCTTCTCCTACTAGAAACTCACTCTTTGCAGTAACTTCATGTAACAGCAGTGGTTGTGATGAATGTCTAGGAAATTAACTGTTTCCTTGTGAAATCAATAGTCATCAATCGCCCTTCCGTCTTGGAAATCTCAAGCCTTTGGCAGTTGCCTGCTGAAATGCAGCGCTAACATTGGCCGTGCACGTTTTGGCCTGTCACATAGAATTTATGTCTGTGTGGGTTGGGGATATCCCGTTTCTACTCGAGCACGTGGACCTGTTTTTTGGTTTGTTTTACTATTTTTTTATTGGAGTAATTCCCTTGCGGTTTGAAACACTCCCACTTGAAGAATCGAGATTTTCCTCCTCTACTGGATCGAAGCGTAGGAACAACGGAACCACCTTTCAAGGAAAAAGTGGGTCGTGCGTGTTGAAAGCCAGTCCCACGTGCCACGTGTTGGTTTTTCTTGACTCGGATCAGTTTTTGTGCTTTTTGTCATGTACAGGATGTCATTGCAGTCTGGTTTCTTGTCTCACAAAGTAGGGAGGAGATCTGTCATGTCATGTTGTGTGTGAGGATTTTGGTTTCGTTGAGTTGGATTTGATTGCATTGAGTTAGTGTGAGTTGGGCAGGGTTGGGTTGGCCAAGTCAACTGTGGGTAGTTTGTTCTCCCCTTTGCCATGCGGGTTTCCTTCCCTCCACACAAAATCAACACTTGAGATCTTGGGCTATGTGGCGTGGGCAGATGTGGGTTGTATGGCTGCTGCCTCAGGCACCACTATGTTGCAGTTTAGCGCGTCCTTGGTTCACGGTGCACACGAACGCGCTGCCTAAGGAATTTGCACCTGATAAGTGACTACGTTTTCTCCATCACCCTGCCACTTCCCATTCCCAGAATACAAGAGCCAGTGCTGTCGGAGACGGAGCAGCAACTGCTAGAGGTCGAGAACGCCGACCGGAGCTTCTTCCTCCAGGACCTCATCCTCTCTACCCTGAACGAGGAGTACTTCTGGGAGGGAGAGTCGGAGCCTGAAGACGACGGCGAGCCTGTTGTACAGGGCGCCATGGGGGGTACCAACGAATTTGAACCGCCCGAAACGTTACTGCAGCTAGAGTCTTTGAATTTAAGGGAGCGGGAGGGGCCGGCATAGCAGAAACTCAGAAAAAAAAAACACAAGGGAGAGGGATGCAAAAGTCACAGATTACACTCAGTCTAGCATAGCTTGTGTATACCAACAAATTTATCGGTGTAAATTATATATATATATTAAAAACACACACGTGAAAAAAAAACTGCTTATCTAGTTCCAGAATTTACCCAAAGTTGAACTGTTGCTCTCTGCATATGTTGTGCAGACGTATTTCTTAAATTTAGTGTTGCACAAATTACCTTTTTTTGAATAATGTGTCCGTGTCGATAAAAATCCTGCAAAAGGAGACAGTCTGGCCTTGCACAATGTGCAATCTTTCTTTCTTTTTTCCCTTCTTTTTTTAATTCTAAATTTGAAATAGACATGTAACTGGTCCATAGTGTGTCACTTGTTCGGCCTGGAATTTGACGGCGACAAAAAAAATATCCCCCAAACCGTAGTTTTCTTCCCAAGGCAAACTTGGCCGGCCTTTCTTAAATTTAGATTGTCACTTAACGATGAGCGAATTAGTTCCTGCTGAATGTATAAGGGTGTCGTGTTGCTGAGTGTGGTCAGTTCCATTTTCTGGATGCAGATGTTGACAATGTGGGGGTGGGGACAGGAGAGGGGGAGACGCTGACACTCAAACTGTCAGATGAACTCTTAAAATTTGCCGTTTCTGCGGGAAAAAAAAACTCCTGCAAGACATGTATCAGGAAGCTAAGGTAACACTGTACATGTATTTGAGTCCTGAAGCACGTATTTGATGACTGATGCTTACAGATGTCAGCCTGTCAGTCTCAATGCAGTTGTAGTAATGCAGTTTGATGCTTTTTTTCCTGAAAATTCTGGCAATGATAAGAATGGGACCTGCCTCGAAGACCAGAAGAAATGGTGGAGTACTTATTTGTACTCTGACTGGGACTCACAGCAATGAAGTCAGTCGGTCAGTAATCAGGCCATTGCCCAAACTACTTAGCTGTGGTTTGAAGGGTACGGGATGTGTATGTAGTCAGATGCCACAGCTGCTGTCCAGGAATTCAGACAGGGGCTAAGTCTGGAGACTAGGCGCTGATTTCAGTGAGCCATCAAGCAAAAGCGAGTATCACACAGAATTTATTATGGAAACTGTTTCTTCCACTCAGTTTTACTTTCATTTGCTCAACAGCTTTGTACAAAGTTGGACCTCGTGTGAACAAGCAACCCCATCTCCTGAACTTTCTGAAATCGTATTGTGTGCTAGGTGCATTGCCTGTAGACTGATCCATTAAGCCCCGCCCCATGATTTTCTGACCAATCACAGCCGTGATGCGTGTCTAATTTGCATGCAGAAAGGTGTGATGAGCATGTGTGCATGACCTGGCAGCTTGAACCTGCAAAGTGGTATCGGAAAGTACATGTACATGCAGTGTGTGTTCATAGTCCACAAAAAGTGGGCGGGGCTTACTGGGTTGCTTGATCACTGGTAGCTCACAGCTATGCGTACTTGTAGAATGTGTTACCCTATCATGCGCTTGTGGATATATGAACAAATCCGGCCCTGCATTAGCGATTTTTAGGACAGTGCTGCGGCCAGTTTCTGACTTGATGATATTGAGTGCATGGTTGGACCAGTCTACCACCGACTGGGCCACTCACTAGCGACTTCCCTATCCGCCTTGAGCAGAAGCAACCCTCCCCCCTCCCTCCATTTGTTGAAAAAAAAAAGCCATGTTGTTGGGAAGTGTTCATTTTGTTGATAGTAACGCAATTGTGCACTGGTTGCATTTCATAGTTTGTGAACCAGGAATGTGCAGTTGCCACCAAAGGAGCCTCCGTTGCTGGAAAATTGCGCCCTCTCTTGGTCCCGCTTGGGGCCCATTGAATGAAGCTGGGCGTGTGGGCCACCAAGGGTGGCCAGCGTGAAGTGCAAATCTTAAAAAAAAAAAAGCTCTGCTGCCGTGAATCGTGCACAGTGTCTTTAAGGTCATGTAGCAAATCTGGGAATTGTGTCGTTGGTAACCAATTTGCTGTAAACTATAGAGGAAAAAACAGATTTGTTACACTGAAGATGAAAAAGTTGCTCTCCCAAACAACTGTAGTTCTCTAAGAAAAATGTGAGGGAAACCATTCTTTTCAGTGCATTCTCTTTGATGAATTTGAGGATAAATGTAGGCGGAAGTCCAACCAAGAGAGTATCAGTGATGTAAACATCTTTGAAATAACTGGCCTGGATATTGTTTCACGTGAATCTTTCTTTAGCAACAGGGTTTTTATGCCTCGCTCCAGGCACTGTCACTCTCTAGATTCCGCTGTTTCTTCATTTTGTGACCTAAAGAGCCATTTAAGAATATCAACATTTTGTGGTTCCGCATTACTCTGAGGTTAAAACACCCAAAATGTTTCTAACATATATAGTGCCTAAGCCTCGTCCAATTGTCAGTTTGTTGTTTGGACAACAGTAATGTATTTACCAAACACGGTACTTGTCTAAATAACGTTGTGGTGATGTCAAACATTTTTACAAGGCAAAAAAAAAAAATCACTGTCAGAGTTGTCGTCATCCTTTTTTTTTCATCGTAATTGTGGAAAGTGTTTAGCTTCATCGCTTTCAGGAAGGACTTGTAAGTAGGAATATGGAAAAAACAACACTGCTTTGCTCGGGACAAATTGAGAATGTTACATTTTTCTCTGTATTAAGAGAATGAATGAGTTAAAAAATGAAATCCAGTACTGTTTCTGCATTTACTGCACGTCATTACATTTGCCAACACCTCTAGCCTGTCGCTTATTCCGTTAGAGTCCAAATACCTTCGTCTGGAAATGGAGAGTGTGGCTAACATCTTACCAGTGTTTGTATGCATGTCGAATTTGAGATTATGAAGTCACATGCTTTTCATCACTGTATTTGATTCTCCGATCATAATGTGGTGATAGTGGGTTCAGGCTGAGCGTCCATGACCCTCAGGCAAGGGCTGTTAATGAGTATGGTTGATATCAGTTTGAATGCTTATAGTGCATACTTGGAAAGGGCATTGTTAGGATCCTGCTATTTTACCCAAGGAACCCCCATATATTCGCCAATGTCAGCAGCCAAAAAAGGGCTCCCAAAGGAATTAAAGGAATGTTTTAAGTCTCAGGATCTGACGTGCAAGGTTAATTTCACCAAGAATGTTTCTTTTTTTTTTTTTTTATTCCAACTTCACTCAATTTCTGCTTGCCGTATCTGTGAATTCTTGTCAAAGTGAGAAGTCGACTTTGTTCTAACCTACACCAAATGTTGAAACCTCTAACAATTTTTCTTGAACCCGAGTCTGTTGAGCCATGCCACAAGTGCACCCTACATTGGTGTTTTATCTAAAACTAGCTTTCATGTTTCAGACCAGCTGATATGTACAACCTCAGTCACAAATAATGCTTTTGATGATCAAATCGGCCTTGTTTTGCTCCCCCTTCTGAGGTTATGCACATACCTAAAAGTGTTGGTGGTTTTTTTATGTCATATTCTGGGAAGAAAAGGTTAACTGATGAAATTTTAGGTATCTTTCATGTAGAAAATGTTTTTCTACAACTTTGTTTTTTCAAATTTGCCTTATCGACCAGGAAAAGGTTGGTCACTATTTAATTAGTGAACAAAAGTCGCCACTTCTCACACAAGTTTGAACTGTGGTTCAGTTACTAGGGTAAATGTATTTTGAGACAATCTTGAAATTTGTCAGCAATTTTGTTTTTTTAAGGCTCATATGTAAGATGTTGAAAAATATACAAATAAGCTGTTAACAGCTGCTTCCACAGCACACCTGCTGCAAGCTTTTCATTTTAGTGTATGAATTTTTTTTTTTAAACATGCCCTTTTTATGATTCTCTCTTCATGATTTTTTTTATAACCCTCAATGGTCTGCTGCAATCCCACCGTAGAGCTATGTAGTAAACCTAGAGCGCTGACTCGTACAAAGTGATGCCTGCTGGGCGCGTCCATGTTTGTGCACAAACCTATGGAAAACTCAAAATTTTGTATGGCTTCTGTGCGGCCATTTGCATAGCTGCATCTGTGTTCTTAAATGATACGCCAACAAAGCTGATACGCAAATAACCTGAATGCACCATCAGTAAATGAGCATTTCATTTTGTTCTGCGCTAAACAACACAAACACGTGCGCCTGTGTTCTGCACGTGAGTTTTGTCGTGACGGTTTTAAATCGGATTTTATCGGTACCTGATGCGCACGACGGTCGCTGCTCCAGGGTGGTCAACTCACTCAACACCGAGTTGACTTTTTAAGACTTTTTAAGACAGCCATTGAAAGACATGCATACGAAATCGCACAACCTTACGGAAACATTAGTTTTAAAATAATTAATTATGGATTTAAATAACCGTGTGCCATTGGTCTGTACGTGTGCGCCTTATGCAAAAGACGCACTGACATTCGCGTGTGCTGTACTTGAGCGTTGCATTTCGAACACATTCATCCGATTTTGAATATTCTACAAGCAAGCACATCTGTTCAAATGTCTGCGCCCAGGACGGCATCAAATTTTCTCCACGCGGAGAATGAGAAGTTAGCGCTTTAGTTTGAACATGTAGCTTTATGAATTCCACCCACTCTTCTCACATTTAGCTGTATCATAACACGCAACTGAGAGACCGCATACTGTCGTTAAAGTTTTGAGGGCGATCAAATGCGAGAAAAAGTAATTGCAGTATGAGGTGGCGTCTACAAGTCCCATCCTGGTCTGTCCTACATTGATACTTGTCGGAATTCCAAAGTGGTCCCGCTCCAAACTATGAGAGCAATGTAAACAAAATTTCAGACTAAAGAAACGACACCATATTAAAACATAATTTATTGATTAGTAATGAGGACAAAAGTGTGGTTGGCTCAAGCTCAAAGAATGTCTCAAATCCCTCCCTCTCAAAAACTGGTATGGTTTTCGGCACGTGGTATACTTTCTACGTTTGTGTGAAATGCGCATGTGTGTGTGTGCAGGAATCTCACTGAACACCCCCCCCCCGGTTGCAAAGAGAGTTGTAATAAAATACCTGCGAGTTCGTTCCGTTTTGTTAAGTTGTGATCCCTGATTTCACACGCAGTGGAACCTTCCAATAATCAAGTCACTATCAAGTCCAAGCTGTTGTCCTGTGCGTACTTATTTATAATGAAGAGGACTGAGCAATACTCGAAAGCTGCCAAGCAAGTTGACAACTAAATTGTAGGATGACAGTGATGCGAGTCCCAAGCAGTTATAACCTCGTGGACAGCATCGGCTTCAGCCAAACAGAGATGTGCGACCTTAGATGTTCATGATTTGTTGAACTTGAAGCTCTTCAGAGGGTCCTCTGCATTTCTCCTCTGCAAAGAAAACATGTTCACGTCACTTCTTTAGGAAGCTAGTCAAAGTTGCTAGCGTTTAACTTGGACTTGAAGGTCCTTGAAACTTCAGATAAAAGATTCTACCAGTAGATTCCTGTACCATCGAGTTAGGAGGAATCAGGAAGCTGTCAAATGTCACTGAAGTTTACAAGCACCCCAAATGAAACGGAAGCTCTAAATGTTACCTAACATATTCAAAGCGTGACCAGCAGTACCACCTTTGGAAGCTTCTTCAACATTTGAACAATACTGTCCTGGGTTTAACTTACCTTTTTCTTGGCAAATCTGGATTCCCTTGGGCCCCTGTGTTTACGCTTCTTGGCAGGACCTCCGAAAGTTGGTCCCGAGATTCCGCCTTTTAACGTCTTGGGCACTGAGTCGCCACAAAAGGACACAGTAAAAATGCACAGGGTCATCAAAAATATCTTCAAGGAAGCTTGAATGCTCAAAACTTACATACGTTGTTCGTGTAAGTCGCAAGACTTGTCTGTTCTGCCTCGCCAATATGGTGAACTGAAGAAAATGAAGCCAAATGATGTGACCCCACCGCACTTTTGTTCACTGTTAGCGCTGGCTGTGCTTTACAATGTGTATCTGATGCACGCACTGATTTTTACATGTGTATTAAATTTCAAGGCTGTATGACAAAGTTAGATGAAGTGAGTGAGAAAATAGGAAATCCGAGAAGAATTTTCTAAAGGATGAATGTGTGAGTGAGTCTTTGATGTCCCACTGTAGCCATGTGTCGTAATCAAATCCGTCACAGTCCTATCACAATTCCGAACATAAGTCGTTTCGCAAGACCAGCCACAAGGAATGAGGGGAACGACAACAAAGACGCACTTTTGTCGTAGCTCATTTGAGTGGCTTTTGATTTGTGATAGACTTGACTGCGACGCTGTCCTTAAGCCTCTCCCCTCTCACCGAGGTACTCAGGCACGTGTCGGAGGTCCGAGTGCACCTTAGCCGGGTGCAGCACCCTGTCGTGCCGCAGCAACTGCATGTCTCGCGGGTTGTCGTCGAAGTACGTCCGCAGCGTCTTGGAGTGAAAGATCTCCTGCTTGATCTCCTTGACCCGGGCTTCGCGGACGGCCACGCGCGTCACCGCCCGCATGGCGTCCTTGCAGCGGTAGCGGAACCCCTCGATCTCCGCCATCTTGAACTGGTAGGGCCGGATCAGAGGGCTGCCATCCTCTGCTCGGTGAGAAGAATTCATTGGGATGAGCACCGTAAAGAGACACTTGTCAGAAGTATTTTGAAAAAGAAAAATGTGTTTAACTTGTATTTTGCTCAACGATTCTATTTTAAAGTAGATCGTAAATGTGAAAAGTGTGGTTGTGACAAATTCTGGGCAAGTTTTTTATTCTTCACTTTTCAGTTGATTGAAATTGACTGTATATAATATAAAAGTGAACAAACGGGTTGAGATTCCTCTGCTCTCCTTTGATTACATATTCTCACCTTTAACAAGATACTTTTCAACATCTGCAAGGATTTCCAACTCCTTATCATTGACTAATGACAAAGCCGTCCCTTTGGTATCACCACGGGCTGTTCTGATGTGCAAAGAAATAAAGCCCACAGATACATTTGAAACAAAAAACAAGAACAAAAAAAAAACAGAAACAAACTTTGAGAAAGCACCATCTTCTAGAGGTATTTCGTTTATTTTGGCCACAAGCATTTACACTTGGTTTGCACATGTGCACACAATGCAGGGACCACTCACCTGCCGACTCTGTGGATGTAGGACTTGATGGTCGTTGGAAAGTCAAAGTTAATGATGTTAGCTACATTCTGGAAGTCAATCCCTCGAGAAACACCGTATTCTCTGCTCTTGCCTTTCTTAAATTTTGACCTTGACATGAATGAATTAAACATTTAAATTTATGCATTTCGATTCTGTATGTTCATACTAAAAACTCTTATATCAACTGCTTTACTTACAACCCTGACACATCTGAACGTCTGTTCACTGGCAATATTAATTATACGAATAAAATGTTTTCTTTTTCCTAAAATATGTAAAAATTGACGTGCTCTGAAAGTGTACAATAGTTTTCCACTCACTTTTTCTGTCGCGGTCCTCGCTTGCCCGTGGCCAGAGAGCTCTCATCAGAGGCGATGATGATGTCATACAGGCCAGCGTTGAACTGCTCCACAATATGACATCTGGAGTTGACAGGCAGCTCCGAGTTCAGCACGCAGCCAGCTATTGAGAACTGCTCCAAGAACAATTTCAATCTGAAATACAGACACAGAACTCAAGTACATGTATTCTTTTGGGGGCGAGGTGACAGGAATCGGAGGGTTTGTAGGATTTGAAGGTTGTAGCAAAGCAAGGGTCGAATGCACTTTTTTTCATCAAAGAATATTGTACAACATATCGACCAGTTTCAAGTGCTGGTCTGTACCTGTAAGATTTATCGATGTCGTTGACAAAGATGATGGTTTTTCCCCTGACCAGACGCAGCTTGAGTAGGGTGTACAAGAGAAGGAACTTGTCTTCCTCTCCGCACTTGACATGATACTGAGTCAGTTGATCCATATCTGGCAGCTGGGATTCCTCCAGTTTCAACGTGATCTGGAAAATCAGAAAAATGTCGGACGTTGTGTCATAAGTCGTGACCTCTGCACGAACGCACCCCTTGGAGCAGTGAAACAATCACTACTCCACTGACGATGCAGGATATTTGTCTACTGAGCACTTGCCTGGCACTCTTTCCATAATAGAACATACGCCAACCAGCAAGGGAGCGGTAATTTCAAGCCATAGCCATGTATCCTGGACAACGGGCAGAGCTCTGGTAGCCCGTTTCCTGACGGAGACTTACAGGATTGTGAAGCACCAGCCTCTTCAGCGCCACCACCTCGTCACTCAGTGTTGCCGACATGAGGAAGGCCTGGTAGATCTTGGGCAGGAATGGCAGGAGTGCCTTGAGGTCAGCCTCATAGCCGAAGGAGAAGATGAGGTCGGCCTCGTCAACGACCAGGACCTCCAGGCTGTCCATCAGGGTCAGGTTCTGGGCCTGAAGGTGGGCGAGGAGACGGCTTGGGGTCCCGACAACGACATCTGGCTTCTCCATGAGTAACGGCCTGGGTAAGAAAAAGTTCCTTGATCATGAAAAGTATCCTACACCGACGTCACTTGCGTTTTGTTGCTTTGTCCTTTTATTGCAGCTGATGGGCCATAAAAATCTTCTTCTTTTTCTGAGTGAAAGTAAACAAACCTAGAGCCTTTACCACAGTTAGTCTAATTCTTCAAATGTGCCTACATTGCGTCCAATTTTCATTCTCGGTGGTAGCTTTCTTCAAGGCCCACTGGAGCATGTACAGATATCAGTAAAACTTCCATACCTTCTCAAGCGTTTACTTGAATTTGTTCAATCAGATCTCTGGGCCATTCACTTGGCATGTACAAATGAAATGAAGGCTGCTGTGATCAAGTGCACTACCAACCTTTGAGCAGCCAGGTCTACCTGTGCTGACACATCAGCGCACTTGACTTCCCTAGAGCAGCAGCTAGTCAACTCCTGCATGGGAAGGTTCACAAAATGAGACTGCAAGTGAAGGATGAACCGTGAAAATGGTCTAAGTGCATCCATCTAAGCCTGTTACTGTCTAACAACAGTATCAGAGAATACCAAGTCCCTTGTGCTTGAATCAACTCACCAGGATGTTCTTGTGAGCCTGACTGCACAGCTCTCTAGATGGAACCATGACGACGGCGCGCACCGCCTGCTCCCTTGCTGTCTGTAGATTGAACCAAGCAATACTTCAAACACTTAAAAGGGGACTCTGTTCTCTGTAGTGTAATGACTAACTGAATTTTTAACATCAAGATGCAACCTGATGTAAATATCCAGAAGTGGACATCACTACCGGCAGAGATGTGGGTCTCACCTGCTTACTGGAGAGTATTCTCTGTATGACTGGTATCGCGTAGGCTGCCGTCTTTCCGGAACCTGTTCGTGCTCTTGCGAGCAGATCTTTCCCCTCCAAAGCCAATGGAATGGCTCTTTCTTGGATGAGGGTGGGTTTAGACCATCCCAACTTGGCAATAGCCTATAATTAATATTACCATAAAGATCAAATGCATGGGAAATGAGGCAAGACTAGAAATGTATTGCAGTAAACTCATTGGAAGATTCTCAGTCTCACGATGATTCATTTTTGTAACATATTTACAATGACTATCAGTGTACTAAGCCTGAAAGAAAGAAAGAAGACACATAGAAAGAAGATCTGGGAACAAGATTCCGCCTTCTTTTGGTCAATCATCTGAGTCACTTTCTTGTGAGTGGTTGGTAGTGCTGGATTTGGAGAATCATGACAATGCATTTGTTAATGCAATCAATGAAAGAGTTCCATATAGGGAAACAGCTTGACACCCTGTGCACAGGCTACAGTATGACACCGATCTGAAAAATTTGAAGAGTTTTCTGAACAAACGACTTGTTTTTTCCCTCCTAAATTGAACTTTTCTGGACATGTTTTTTGCTTTCTGACAGCTACGGGTCACTGTAGTGTAGTTATAGACCTATGAAGCCTAGGGAATAAGTACTGGTGTCCGTATATGGAACTTTTCCCTGAATGGATTTCATAAAATGCAAATCATTTAGGATGGAGTGCAATAAATTTGTCCAAGATTCAAGCATGCATGAAGCTTTTGCGCTGAACACACTGATCGGAGGATGAGGCTTACCTACAATTCTACGTATATGCATTCGCCCCCTACAAAATGTTTCTTAATTAGGGCGACTTGGCCACTGACGTATGGCCACAGCTTAACTTCACAAACATGCATGACATGTCATCTTGTCATATGTAGCCTAAAAGGAATCTCATTTTTATCAAAGATCAAAACATTATAACCATTCCGGATGACAAAAGGTCCTATCCTGAATAAAGACATCGATTTTGTGGTTGGGAAATTAATTACCTTTAAAATACGGTCATCTAAGCCCATTTCATGAAAGCGTAATTCTTTCATCTCTAAGCTCCTGGAGGCCGCCATATTGAACTACCCATGAGCACATGTTCATCCGGGAGAGCTAGCTAATTTGAATATACCCCTTTCTCTTATCACCAAAAGTACGTTTATAGTTTACGCAATATTTTTCCCGATGTTTTCTTAATGAAAAATAAATCATCATTCTCCATATTTTTCAGAAAGGTTTATTTAACTTATTCGCCATCATTTTTGTTTCATATTATAAAGCGTGTATTCTTAAAACAAAGTAAAATTGTGGACACTCTTGAACTAAGGTAACTTGCGAGCTACACACACGATCCATTTTCTTACCTTCGAGTCTTCGCGGCGGTCTGGCGGTCCCACGAGTTAGATTTACCCCTAAATAATACCTTTTTTGTGATTGTAACCCAAGACAATAGTGCTTCAAATATGTCGAAAAGACGATTGGACATCAACGATTCGTATTCATCGAAGAAAAGGACAGACTCGGAGTACAGGTAACGAAATAACTCTCTTATTTGTTTCTGTTTTGCACGGACGCTGTGACGTCGATTGCTCGTAAGTCGTGATGCAGCGTGCCGCATTGAGAATATGATGTTACTGTCAATTTATGTTTATGAACATGATGAAAGGGTCTGGTTTACAGTCACTTCGCCCCATCTCCACTTCGCCCCATCTCCACTTCGCCCCATCCCCACTCCGCCCCATCCCCACTCCGCCCCATCCCCACTCCGCCCCATTTCCACTTCATCCCATTTCCACGTCGCCCCTA